TCTCTCCAGGGGTTAGCTCCTAAAATAACCCTCTCCCCTGGCTGGAAGCATTTCTTTCTCGTCCTCCGTCTCCCAAGCCTGCTAATGGCCACCCTGTCATTTCTTCTTCTTTTTTTTTTTTTTAACCTTTTTTTTTTATTGCATTTGAGGTTTTGGGGTACATGTGAAGAACATGCAAGATTGTTGCATAGGTACACACGTGGCAGTGTGATTTGCTCCTTCCTTCCCCTCACCTATATCTGTCATTTCTCCCCATGCTATCTCTCCCCACCTCCCCACACCCCACCCCCACCCTGTCCTTTCTTGACCACTCGCCCCATCCTTTCATTGTCAGATAGGCCCATCTCCCTTTCTGCTGTCCTGTCCACCGCTGACAGTCACTTCAGGCTCCATCCAGTCCTCTCCTCCAGGAAGTTTCTTGGACAACCCCGCATTGCGGTTTCCTCCCTGTAACCGCCAGCGGCACTCACCAGGCAGTCTGGCCCGTGACAGATTCTCTGATTGTGTCCCATCGAGATGCAAGGATCTCCCTTCCCATGGTTTTCTGTCTCTTCTTTTAGCCGTATCTTATCTGATCACACCTCAGCTTGTCTCTACTCCTCTTAAAATGGGAAGGCTGGAGTTAAACGCAGTAACGTAGGAATGCTCCGTCCAGCCCTGAGGAAAGGGGGGAGGCGCGGGGTGATTACTTACACCTTTATTCTAGATACTCTCCTTCTAGACTTTTCCACATCATTCCAGTGCTTTGGCCTGAGGTTACCAAATGCCAGGTGTCAGAGTATAAAGGGCGGATTCATTGGTGGTAACGGCAGGGCCCCCACGGTCTTTCCACGCCTTTACTGAGGCAAGTCCAAATGTAATTCATCAGGACCGTTTCCTGCCTTCTTTGTTCCTCAAAAGCAAGATGTCACATTCAGTCCCTCAAATCTCAAAAAATCATTTATTTTGTGGAATTCTGGAGATGCTCTTAGTATATGACCTATGTATAAAAAGTAGAGATCTTGGTCGTTTTCTGGGCTACCCTGCCCTACCTACCCCCCAATCAACTGCGTGGGTTAATGATGTTCTATAAACCACACAATGGCTTCACCCGCTGCTTCCAGGGAGGGTGACTGATTCTGCCACCCCCTCTGCCAGGTGACTCTGAGATTCCAAAGGCTGGCACTGCAGACCTAGTTCAGTCCCGAACTAAGTGGATAGGCCGGCCCTTACAATGTGTTCATCTTTTTAAAAGAAATGAGAAGGCCAGATGCAGTGACTCACACCTGTCATCCCAGCACTTTGGGAGGTCGAGACAGGTGAACCACCTGAGGTCAGGAGTTCGAGACCATCCTGGCCAACATGGTGAAACCCCATCTCTACTAAAAATACGAAAATGAGCTGGGGCATGGTGGTGCATGCCTGTAGTCCCAGCTACTTGGGAGGCTGAAGTGGAGAATCACTTGAACCCAGAGGCAGAGGTTTCAGTGACAACTCCAGCCTGGACTAGAGAGCAAGACTCTCAAAAAAAAAAAAAAAAAAAAAAAAGAGAGAGAGAGAGAAAATGTGCTCCCTTCCTGAACTATTATGAAGCATAACAAAGTTGGCTGTTCGTGCTGCTGCTGCCACTGCTAGGTGAACTACTGGTGCACCTGCTATTTTTGTGACTTGCTTTCTGTCCACATGAAACAATGAAAGTAGGGTTTTGGAGGGATAAGAGGACAAACCACTCTCTCCCTTTCTTTTAACATTTCTACCCATGTGGCAGAATGTGTAGAAAATTTTGCAATTTGGTCAGTTTCCTCTAATTTGTACACATCTGGGCTGTGATACCCCTTTGTGGAGGCCAGAGGGGTCTTTGTCACAAGAAGTATCCACTCAGAGAAGGTCCACACCCGTTTAGACTGGAGGAAATGGGCGGGGATGTGAGATGACGAAGCTCTCAGAGGGAGGGTCCTGCTGGGCACAGAAGACTGGCCGCCCTGAGAGGCTGGCAAAGTCACATGCAGGGTCTCTGAGAGTGTGAATGGCACTGGCTCAGGAGACGTGCCATGTAGATTTCAAGGAAAGCTAAGCTGCAGTTAACTTTCTAGAGACCTCTCTCCAACTTAACCCACCCACCCACCTACTCCCCTGTCTGCCTACCTGACCCTCAGTAATACACATCATCCTTTTTCTTTTCTTTCTTTTTTTTTTTTTTTTTTTTTGAGACAAGGTCTTGCTCTGTTGCCCAGGCTGGAGTTCAGTAGTGCAACCTCTGCTCACTGCAATCTCTTCCTCCTTAGTTCAAGCGATTCTCCTGCCTCAGCCTCCCAAGTAGCCGGGACTACTACAGGCATGTGCCACCACACCCAGCTAATTTTTTATGTGTATTTTTAGTAGGCACAGGGTTTCATCATGTTGGCCAGGCTGGTCTCAAACTCCTGACCTCAGGTGATTGGCTCACCTCAGCCTCCCAAAGTGCTGGGATTACAGGTGTAAGCCACCCCATCCAGCCTCACATCATCCTTTTAACAGGAAGAGAACCTTTAATTCCACAAATATACTTAGACTCAAATTTTCAGTGAAAACATAGTTTCTAAAGTAAAGCAAAGTATGGTTTGAGTTCACAATAGAAGTATTTTCATGGAGGTGATGGAAGGACCTTCCTTGGGAGATCTCAGGCACATGGGCTCCCTGAGAAAGGAAAAATGGAATATTTTTCATTCATATTACATGAAAATGACACAGAGAGGCTATTTGCAGAGCCTGAGTTTTGCCATGAGGAAAGAAAAAAGGAAGGGTGTGAGTTAACGCTGGACTCTTAAAATAGAGAAGGAGGGATTAGGGATGAGAATATGAAAGGGGAAGAAGGGTGACTCCTGATCTCAAAAAAAAAAAAAAAAAATAGCATTATCCAAATACCCAGTGAACCTTCCCTGCTAGAAAATGAACAAGCTTCTTGACACAAATATGAGAAGATGCTAACATTTCTTTATTTCAGGTTATAGGTAAGTAGATATGTTATACTATTCTCTGTACTCTTCTATTATTTTGATTTTTTTATACTTCAAAAAGCATGCAAGGAAAAATCGAAAATAAGAATCTCCATCAATACAATGGAACACCATGCCGCTGTTTTTAAAAAGTGAGGAAGTTCTCTATATTCTCACACGGAAAGGTCTCTAGAAAATTGTAAAGTGGAAAAAAAAAAAAAAAAAAAAAAAAAAAAACAAGTTTCAGAACAGTGTATTTCACCCAGTCTTATCTGTATGAAATACTGTTAAAGTGTGTTTCTATATGTCGTTTTATATGCATAGAGGTAAATCTAGAAAAGACAAGTTATTAACAGAAGGTGAATTATGTGCATTAGGCATTTTTCTAAAGTATGACTTTCTATGATGAACATGTATTACTTTTATATTCACAGTAAAGCAATAATGACTTTTTTTTTTCCCTTGAGACAGAGTCTCCCTGTGTCACCTAGGCTGGAGTGCAGTGGTGCAATCTTGGCTCACTGCAACCTCCACCTCCCAGGTTCAAGCAATTCTACTTGCCTCAGCCTCCTGAGTAGCTGGGATTACAGGTGCCCGCCACCACACCTGGCTAATTTTTTGTATTTTTAGTAGACATGGGTTTCATCATGTTGGCCAGGCTGGTCTTGAACTCCTGACCTCAAGTGATGCACCCGCCTCGGCCTCCCAAAATGCTGGAATTACAGGCATGAGCCACCATGCCCGGCCAACAGTGACTTTTATAAATAACCCATGGAGCAGAAATGCCAAGCCTCAAGCTCTTCCCAGTTACTAGGCTGCCCCGTGGGTCTTTGACTGGAGATTTCCCCCTGCCCTGTCCTTGCATGGCCTTCTTCCTGATGTGACACTTGAATGCCGGTGAGAGGGCCCGTGACAGATGCCAGCAGTGGTGGCGATGACAAGCCCAAAGCCACATTTGTTCCATTACTTCCACCTCCTTGTTGCCTTTCCAGTCCCTGCAGTGAGAGCTCCTTTCTCTTATCTGCACAAAGCAAGAGTCAAAAGTTCTTGTCAGTGTGATTGCAGAACATCGGACTGGAAAACTTCCTGATAATACCTAAATTCCTTTAGCAGAGCCGACCCTGGAATCGGGTCAGGAGAGCTATGTGGCTTCAGGACATTGTGTGCTGTGCAGTTGGATAATAAACCAGATGAAATTTGGCAAATAAAAACGTAAGGGACATATAAGGATGTCGTTCCAGTCCCATCTGGTGTGATAAACCCTCTCCCACACCAGTTTATCTGTTCCCTTAGCAAAACCATGCAGGCTGCTGAGGAAGAGTCTCTGCTTGTGTGAGCCATTGAGGAGTTCCAAAATAGACACAAAGATAGGAGGAATACAAAAAAATTCCAAATAATAGAAACATAAGGATCAAGCTGAAGATTCTGAGACACATTTATGGCCTTTGTAGACAGTCATACATTCATTGGGACACTCTGGTGACATTAGCTAATTCTGACATTTAGGAATTTAAACTTACTAGCTGTCTTAGCTTATCCTTATTAACAAAGTTTGCTAAACATTTTGTGCGGTGTGCCCTGCTTTATGTTTGAACATGATGCAAACGGCAGGCTATCATCTCAATTCCGTCTCTCATCGTAAAATCTGAGGAACACAGCCGCATGCTCCCACCATGTTTTCCTCTGGCTTCATTCTGCATCCAGCATTCCCGGTTCTTTCCTTCATCTTCCCCAATTTAGTTTCAAAAACACGTGAGTTCCCATAGAAAATGGGAAGAAATGCAGAAACCTGCAAATAAAGTTTAACAAATGATATCCTCTGATAGAGCACTCTTTCCTCCACGCCAAACAAACCACTTTTATTAACTCGAATTCCCTTATGGGAACCCAAATAATTTAAAATACAGCTCCACTCTTAACTAAACTGAAAACAAACTGGAGAGAGGTGTACTTGTATTAGAAATGACACAGCAAAGCATTTCCATGAAAAAGCCCTTTGATCCTCCTAAGCCACTGACCTCGCTCCTGGGTTTCCCCCCGCCGCAGGTAACCAGGTGAGTTTCTCCAAATCCGCGGATGCTTTTGCCTTTGAAGAGGACAGCAGCAGCGATGGCCTGTCTCCGGATCAGACCCGAAGTGAAGACCCCCAAAACTCAGCGGGATCCCCACCAGATGCTAAAGCCTCAGAGACCACTTCGACAGGTTCTCTGGGGACAATCAAGGTAAAAAAAAAAAAAAAAAAAAGTAAAACAGCATTTCAGCGTATTGTCATTTCACAGTCTTAAAATCAACACTGTTACAGCTGGCTTTGCTTAGGGACCCCAGAGGTCCCTTGCTGACACAGCATTTTGATGCCTCTTCTCACGCTATTCAGCACAGCCAACTATGTGGGGTGACAAAAGCTGCAGAAAAAACTGAAAGAGAATCTCCAGAACTACACCGTGTATCTATTAACCATCCGCTCTGCCAGGCAGATATCTTGATATCTCCATTCTTATGAAGCATCTAAGTCTTGGTGAGATTGGATGACTCACCCACAATCTCCCAGCTAGAAAGTGCTGGAGCAGGACTGATTTAAAGTTCACCATCTCTCTGTGTCCTGCCTACTCATGACAAGGGTCATGGGAGTGGAGAGAAGGAAGCGCTGGTTTACTCCAAGGCAGGGAGGCCCACGTTGGTTCTACTCTTAGGTTTCTACCTAGCAAACTGCTGCAGAATCAACTTCCAGCACCAACCCAAACATAACACTCACCTCTTTCTGGATAAATCGACAAACTCTTGAGCGTGAGGAACATGTATTGAGAATACTCTTAAAGCACATTTATAATAAATAATGATGATTATGAGCAATAGCTCCTGCTGCATATTAAGTGTTCCCTCTGGGACAGGGACAGTGTCAAGTGCTTCACAAATGAAATCAGAGACCCCTCCAAGTAGATGCCATTGAGGTTGATTCTGACAGAGGGGGAACAAAGCTCTCTGAGGCTGTTAGAAGTAAATTTTCAGTGCCAAAAAAAAAAAAAAAAAAAAGCACTCAAACATGAATTTTCTCAGCAAGACAATTTTTACTTCTATAGAATTTTGTGTCTTGCAGATGAAGCAATGGCGAGAACACACCTGAACAAAGGGGTCCTTATCCCTGACGCAGGTCACCCTTGTCGCCATGTCATTCCCCTATTGGTTAGGGTTGGATGGCACAGTCTAAGCTAATTCCGACTGGCTATTTTAAAGAGAGCAGGGGTACGAGCCAGAGTGGCAGGGTGAGCAGTCTCAGTGGGAATGACAGCTTCGGAACAGGTGACTAAAGGTGACTCAGGTCAGAGCAGGTGACCAGGGGTGACTCAGGATGGAGCAGGTGACCAGGGGAACAGGTGTGAAGTGAACTATGGATTAGAGCTGGCAGGAAAGTTGTTTAATGAAACTAGGGGCAAAGAGATGAAGAGAGTGAGGAAGTTAAACTTTAAGATAGAGAACAAGGAACACGGAGACTGAACATACCAGCATACTGATTCTTTGACGAGAAATTTGGAATTCGCTAAGTTCAACAAGGCTGAGCAACTGGGTGGTCTCTAGAAATATCACAGAGTGTCAGCAACCCCTGGGGAGAAGAGCCAGAGGATATTCATGGAACCCCTAAGAGAGAGATCCATGTGGGCATCTGCATGTGAGGGGAAGGAGATGTGAGTTCTTCCATCTCTGCCCCTATCCAGAGAACCCTTCAGACCCTCAGACTCTTCCCTTTAGGAAGCATTTATTCCTCCTGACCTCACAGGAATTGTGCAATGAACCGAAATTAGACATATTTGAAAGCTGTTCTTTTTTTCTACTGAAAAATACCCTGCAGATATTGGGACAGTTAAAATAATTATCATTCGTGCCTCGTTTCCTGAAACCCTGCCAGTTACTGGTCATCGGTCACGCCTATCTTCACCCCATCAGAGCAAACCTGGAGCTGCCAAGGAGAAAATGTGAAATGGGAGGGGAAAGGGAGGCATGAAAAGCTGAGCTGAGATATGCATGTGTTTATTGTGCAAGAGTTTATAATCAAAGCGTTTTTCCTTCCCCTGCTTGCCGCAGCTGGTCTTTGCAGCCAAATTTCTTCGATAACATCAAACGGTGTATCAGTCCATTCGTACGCTTTATTCTGACAGTAAATTCCTCAACTGCTGATTTAAGAATGGTTTGAGGAAAAGACGAGTTCTTTTCTGCGTAACCTTGGGAGGGGGGTGGAAGAGAACAAACACGGGACAACGCCAGGCAAGACGCGAAAATCATTTTATGTCATTTCTCCCGGCAATCGTGTTTGACAGATGAGGATACTGAGGCTCCAAGAGAAAAGAATCCTTCAGGGCTTTGACAGGTGCCAGGCAGGGCTCAGGGAAGACCTGCAAAGCTCACTCCTGACCCCCCAGTGGAGAGATCACAGGCAGTCCCGGCTTCTTTACATCAGAATTGAAATAGAGGAATGTAGGCGAGAAAGAGAAAATAATGACTGCCTTTACAGACTCTGCCTTTTATAAAGGTTTCTTATGACTTTAGACATGCACACACACACGCACACACACACACACGCACACACACACTCGTATATGCACACAAAACCACATGTACATATACACACTGGTAGGCACACATGTGTACACATATGTGCATACACACAGAGGCACACGTGTACACATATGTGCATACACACAGAGAGACATGTGCACATATATACAAGTATGTATATGCCTGACATGCACTCACATATATACACACATGCATGCACGATACACACTCGGACACACACTGGGACATACACACACATACACTTGCACACACACTGTCCCTTTTTTTTTTCTGCTAACATCCTTCTCCTCCACCTTGCTGGTTGTTCTACTTTCTCCACAAATTCCTACACCCATTCTACCCTGTTGCTTTCTTTTTCAATTGCGTTTATCAAGACAGGTGGACCTTGTCACAGACAGGTGGAATGCTTACACAGAGAGACCAGATGTCCCAGTTTGCCTAGAACAGACCAGTTTTATTCCTGTCTTTTGGAACCATTACTTAGAATGATTCCTTTTCTCTCTCAAAAGTGTTCTCAACTGGATAACAGGGTTTTTATATCTACATGTATGTATACACACATATGTGTATGTGACTCCTCCCCCCGGGAGGGGAGGCTGATATTTACTTGGGCAAGAAGCTAGGATAAAAACAGCAGAGGCATGTATATGGACTCTCCTCTGACATTTCTGTGTCACGCATCTTATTCCTCTATCTTAATCACTGTAAAATTTGGATTTCAGGATCTTGCTTCTGGCTCAGAAAATGACAGGAATGACTCGGCCTCACAGCCCGGCCACCAGTCAGATGCGGGGAAGCAGGGCCTTGGCCCCCCCAGCACCCCTCTAGCCGTGCACGCTGCTGTAAAGGTACAGACGCGCCAGCCTCCAAGCCCTGCCTGAGAACTCAGCTCACAGAGCCAACTCAGAGCAGAGCTCTCTGAGTTAGGTCTGACAACACGAGGCGACCCACACAGGGGGCTCATGCAGAGGTTCAGCTCACTGGGGCTGTCACAAAACAGGAGATGGGAGATGGGTCACTAGCGTATATGGACCAAGATTTCATTATCCATGCCATGGAGAAGGCTGTACATATGTGTACACGTGTGCACACCGGGGTGTATATGTACATGTGGTTTTGTGTGTATATATATGTGAGTCTGTGGGTTTGCATTTCTTTGGGATCACAGCTCAGCCAGCATGTTCCTGACTTAAAAGATTTCATGGCCGGGCACAGTGGCTCGAGCCTGTAATCCCAGCACTTTGGGAGGCTGAGGTGGGTGGATCACAAGGTCAAGAGATTGAGACCATTCTGGCCAACATGGTGAAACCCCGTCTCTACTAAAAACACACAAAAAATTTAGCTGGTCGTGGTGGTGTGCACTTGTGGTCCCAGCTACCCGGGAGGCTAAAGCAGGAGAATTGCTTGAACCCAGGAGGCGGAGGTTGCAGTTAGTCGAGATCGCGCCACTGCACTCCAGCCTGGCGCCTGGTGACAGAATGAGACTCTGTCTCAAATAAATTTAAAAAAAAAAAAATTTCATAAGCTCACCCTTGAGGTAGACACAGCTGATTGTGAGACAGGATTTGCAAGTTTCATCAAATAGGTGTGTAGGGCCGTTGAATTTTATGCAAGGGAAGTAACCCTGAAGACCTTGCATCATGTAAATCTTACATCATTCAAGCCAGTCTTCCTGTGGAAATAAACGTGGTGTTTCTTTCATAGTAGACAGGTAGCTGTAATCATTACAGCATATGCTTAATTGTCAGCGTTATATCTTGTTGTTAATTTTTTATTTTTATTTCAATGGTTTTGGAGGTACTGGTGGTTTCTGGTTACATAGATAAGTTCTTTTTTGTTGTTGTTTGTTTTTTTGAGGAGTTTCACTCTGTTGCCCAGGTTGGAGTGCAGTGGCATGATCTCGGCTAACTGCATTCTCCACCTCCCAAGTTCAAGGGATTCTCCTGCCCTCAGCCTCCTGAGTAGCTGGGACTATAGGCAGGCACCACCATGCTGGGCTAACTTTTGTATTTTTAGTAGAGATGGAATTTCACCATGTTGGCTAAAATGGTCTCCATCTCCTGACCTCGTGATTCACCCACTTCAGCCTTCCAAAGTGCTGGGATTACAGGCATGAGCCACCACGCCCGATGGATAAGTTCTTTAGTGATGATTTCTGAGGTTTTAGTGCACCCCTCACCTAAGCGGTGTATACCACATGCAACATGGAATCTTTCATCCCTCACCCCACTCCCAATCTTCCCCCAACCCTCACATTCCATTATATCATTTTTATGCCTTTGCATCCTCATAGTTTAGCTCTCATTTAGAAGTGAGAACACGTGATATTTGGTTTTCCATTCCTGAGTTACTTCACTTAGAATAATGGTCAGCAGCTCCAACCCAGTTGCTGCAGAAGACCTTATTTTGTTTCTTTCTGTGACTGAGTAGCATTCCATATTATACATGTACCACATTTTCCTTATCCACTTGTTGGTTGACAGACACTTCTGTTGGTTCCATATCTTTGCACTTGAGAATTATGCTTCTATAAAAGCACAACTGAGATACACCAGCACTGTATCTCACAAGACATAGGCTGCTTGGGCAGGGCATGGTGGCTCACGCCTGTAATCCAAGCACTTTGGAGGCCAAGGCGGGCGAATCACCTGAGGTCGGGAGTTCAAGACCAGCCTGACCAACATGGTGAAACCCCGTCTTCAAAAAAAAAAAAAAAAAAATACTTAGGCTGCTCTCTCTTCAATCAACTACCTGGTAATCATTTGGCCTTCTTCATAATGTCTTGGCCTAATAACTTCTAACTGATTTGGGAACACATTTTCTCAGCTCTAGTGTCACCACTTAATGAATGTTAAAATGACTCAAGGGATTTTTAAAAAGATTGTAAATGGAAGTAAAAATCAATGGTATAGTAACACTTTTATAGTGTAATGGATGATAGACACTTCCGTTTGCCTGTAAGTCTCCCTCACCAAACCACAAGAGCTGAAACCCAGCTGACAATTCACTCAGCTCAACAGGTTTGAAATTATGTGACTATCAATGCATTTTGCTCATTGCAGGGGAAGGTGGAGGAGATGAAGCCCATTATTTCTAAAGCTGAGTATAAAAAGAAATGTTATGAATATTTCTATCACAGTATTTAAATTGTGCATAATTCAAATTAGCAGCAGAGTGTGGTGGCTCACCCTTGTCCTCCCAGCACTTTGGGAGGCCAAAACGGGAGGATCACCTGAGGTCAGGAGTTTGAGACCAGCCTGGCCAACATGGGGAAACCCTGTCTCTACCAAAAAATACAAAAATTAGCTGGCCGTGGTGGCACGCGCCTGTAGTCCCAGCTACTCCAGAGGCTGAGGCAGGAGAATCACTTGAACCCGGGAGGCAGAGGTTGCACCGAGCTGAGATCAGGATCACTGCACTTTAGCCTGGGCAACAGAGTGAGACTCTGTCTCAAAAAGAAAAAAAAATTAGCAAAGCCTTCAATCTTACTGTGCTAAGAAGTATAATAGAAACCCTGAAGACGGACAGATCACTTTCAGTGAAAAGGGCAGTCAATACAGACACCCAGCTGGTCCCGGCGGGCTGGTTATTTGTAGACGAGCCAACATCCCTTCTGCTTGGTCAACAAACACACACAACCTTAGTATCCCCTGGGCTCAAAAAGAGAATAGTAGTAGTCTTTACCCTACACTATCCAGAGAAAATCGTCTGATTTCAGTATCTTCCGGAATGTGCTAACGCAACATAGAGAAAAAAAACGCCTGGACCCCCGACTCAGCTACGGGACCCTACCAGAGCTGCAGCTTCCATCCTACCCAGACAAGGCAAGCCGCAGAATGAGGCGACAACAGCAACTTATCTGGAGCAGGCCAGGGCAGAGCTGGTTTGGGGACAGAAGACAGATTAATTAATTAGAATGCGAATCGATTAGTAAGCGGGGACAAACCCGGTCACCAAACACACAGAAATACTTGTGCTCGTTATTCATTAGTCGCCGGGAAGAAGTCTCTTTGGAAAACAAAAGAGCCTTCCGGGGTGGGATACGCTGAGTCCAAGCGAGTTGTAAGCTCCTTTGGATCAGGTCACGTTCAGATGTGCAGTTTGTGGTTGAACTGGGGAAGCTGCCAAGTCAGAACAAGCCTGCCAGCTGTTCAGGCGCCCCCTCTTCTGGTCACCGGTGGTAACACACTTTCCTTCCAATGATCCCCCAAATCCTTGATCACTTGTAGTCATTGCATCCAGGTTCCTCATTTCAACCTTCTGTAATAAAGCCAGGGTTTGAAAATTCTGGGTTTTTTTTCTTTGAGGCGGAGTCTTGCTCTGTCACTCACGCTGGAGTGCAGTGGTGCAATCTCAACTCACTGCAACTCCTGCCTCCCAAGTTCAAGCTCTTCTCCTGCCTCAGCCTCCCAAGTAGCTGAGACTACAGGCACCTGCAACCATGCCCAGCAATTTTTTTTGTATTTTGAGTAGAGACACGGTTTCACCATGTCGGCCAGGCTGGTCTCGAACTGACCTCAAGTGATCTGCCCACCTTGACCTCCCAAACTGCTGGGATTACAAGCATGAGCCATTGCGCCCGGCCTGAAAATTCCTTTTTTAACCTGATAGCAGGATGGACCCATTCCTTCCTAATATACAAAGGTCTTTTATTTCAGGAACAAGTTATAGACATAATTACCTTGTTTGTTGACTACCTGTTATTATTTCAATAGTATCTTTCAGAGCCTTTGTATTGATTAGTGAGGTAGAAAGTAAAGAATATTTTCTCCAACTTGCAGATGAGGAAATTGAGCCGTATTAAAGTTAAGTAATTGTACCCCTTTCAAAAATTTGTCTTATCTTCTAAGACTATACCCTTAACTTACTTCAGTGTGTCCAAATCATGCAATACATGCTTTGGGTTCCAACTCTGGGAAGTGTTCCAGTAGGTGGATAACCCTTCCCATAATAAGTAAAGTATCCTTGTTTCAAAAGGCGTTACTTCCTGATCTTTCATCGGTATTTGGCAGGCGAGAAGGTGTTAAGCCGGCAGATAGGCAGGGTTTACCTTAACTTTCAGCCCAAAGCAACAAATAACCACATTCTAAACTTTGAAAGAAAATCTTAGTTTCATCTAAGTTTATGTCACTAATAAGTCAACTTACTAAGTGTTAACTAAAGGTGACTGCACCTACGCATATAAAAGAACTTTTTTATTTTATTTTTTTGAGATGGAGTTTCGCTCTTGTCGCCCAAGCTGGAGTGCAATAGTGCGATCTCGGCTTACTGCAAACTCCACCTCCTGGGTTCAAGTGATTCTCCTGCCTCAGTTTCCCGAGTAGCTGGGATCACAGGTATCTGCCACCACTCCCAGCTAATTTTTGTATTTGCAATAGGGTTTCACCATGTTGGCCAGGCTGGTCTTGAACTCCTGACCCCAGGTGATCCACCCACCTCAGCCTCCCAAAGTGTTGGGATTATAAGTGTGAGCCATCACAGCCAGCCATGAAAACTTTCTACAAATAGTCTCAAGAATAGAATGCCACCTTTGCGGGCCATCGGTTGGTTTTAGGTTAGAAGAATGCACTCATTGAAACACAGGATTACATTTTCCTGCACTCCAGAAAGAAAAAATTCTGGAGCTACTTCTAAGATTCAACATTCCCCATCTAAGGAGTGTCCTTCCAGTGTGATACATTTGCAGCGAATTTGTGCGTTAGCAACGTTAATGTCCTAGGAGCTCTTTGTACATCATGCCTTTGCTATATTGTATTTCTGAGATCAGGAATGACCATTAGACAAAACTGCCTCACAATCAACGTGTCCGTGATGCAAATTCATTCTTAGCTATTGCCTAAAGCACATGCCATTTCCTCATTCTCTTTGCAGTCCAAGTCCTTGGGTGACAGTAAGAACCGCCACAAAAAGCCCAAGGACCCCAAGCCAAAAGTGAAGAAGCTTAAATATCACCAGTACATTCCCCCAGACCAGAAGGCAGAGAAGTCCCCTCCACCTATGGACTCCGCCTATGCTCGGTTGCTCCAGCAACAGCAGCTGTTCCTGCAGCTCCAGATCCTCAGCCAGCAGCAGCAGCAGCAGCAACACCGATTCAGCTACCCAGGGATGCACCAAGCTCAGCTCAAGTAAGTCAGAGAGGGCGGCTGCGGGCAGAGGTTGGGAAGGATGTCTATTAATATCTATCTGAGGCATATGGCACCTAGCAAGTCTTGTATTGCACCATTTCCTCATCCAATATGTTTGGAATGTGACTCAATTTACAAACTATGCACACCTTTTCAGAGCCATAACACTGGGAGGAAGCAAATTCAGAGCGCTCTTTATCTGCAGATGTATTCCAGACCCTCAGTGGACACCTAAAACCTCAGAAAGCACTGAACTCCAAATATATTGTATTTTTCCTAGACATACATATCTATGGTAAGGTTTAATTTATAAAGTAGGCACAGGGAGAGATTAACAATACTAGCTAGCAATAATATAGAACAATTATAGCATTTACTGTAATAAAAGGTATCGATGTGGTGGTGTCTCTCTCAAAACATCTTATTTTACTGTACGCATCTATTTTTGAACTGCAGTTGACTTCAGGTAACTGAAATCTTGTAAAGTGAAACCGCCAATAAGGAAAGGACTATTATAAATCAATGCCTTTGATAAAAGGTCCCTTTGGGAAAAAGGAAAGTATTAACACTTTCAAATTGGACTGTGGAATGTCTAAGAACGTGATACTGGAATTATGAGCAATTCCGATGCACTTCTGCTTTAAGAAGTTAACGGAGCTGAGAAACAGCCTCAGAGATTACCTCCTGAGCCCAGCTTGTGTGATCACATTGCTACGGCAACTTTTTTTTTTTTTTTTTTTTTTTGAGATGGAGTTTCACTCTGTTGCCCAGGTTGGAGTGCAGTGGTGCGATCTCGGCTCACTGCAACCTCCGCCTCCTGGGCTCAAGCGATTCTCCTGCCCCAGCCTCCTGAGTAGCTGGGATGACAGGCACACGCCACCACGCCCAGCTGATTTTTGTATTTTTAGTACAGACAGGGTTTCACCATGTTGCCCAGGCTGGTCTTGAACTCCTGACCTCAGGTGATCCACCCACCTCGACCTCCCAAAGTGCTGGGATTACAGGCGTGAGCCACCACAACTGTCCGCTAGATCATCTTTTAAATCGTCAATATCCCCACTTATAACGTTAAGATCCGGATTCCTCCTGTGTCATTCTCAGACCATGCTAGCAATTATGCTGAGCACTGAACATAACCAAGCTTTACCAGATTGCTTGGCCTCCCCAGGACAGAGCATCAGCTGAGTCATAGGTGGATGTGTCCTCCATCATATGCCAAAGTCCTGCTACCTCTTCTCTCCCTAAACAAAGTTCAGATGTCACACACCACTTGCCACCTAGCCAGCACAGTTTTTTTCCTCACCCTGCTGTCTTCTACTGGTTTATTGCATGCCTGTCCCTTGCAGGCAATCACTTTGTCATCTGATCTAAATGCAAGTGATCCCATCACTATTTGATTGTATTTGAAGTGCCTCTTTGTTTTTTAGAGAACCAAATGAACAGATGGTCAGAAATCCAAACTCTTCTTCAACACCACTGAGCAATACCCCCGTGTCCCCTGTCAAAAACAGTTTTTCTGGACAAACGGGTGTCTCTTCTTTCAAACCGGGCCCACTCCCGCCTAACCTGGATGATCTGAAGGTATAGGATTTGACGTGATTTTCTTTCTTTTTTAAAAAACAAAAACAACAGTTTATTGTTAACAGCACCGCTGCAACTGATATCTGAAGTGTGAGACGGGGAGGGGAGGGAGATGATGGGAAACCCTGAAGGAGGTGATTGAGTTTATCCTGCTGTGGTTGAACATCCCAGTTATCTAGTCTATTTTATGCAGCAGTTACAGAATACTGGAAACTGAGAACTTTATAAAGAAAAGGGGCCAGGTGTGGTGGCTCACCCTTATAATCCCAGCACTTTGGGAGGCTGAGGTGGGTAGATCACGAGGTCAGGAGTTCGAGACCAGCTTGGCCCACATAGTGAAACCTTGTCTCCACTAAAATACAAAAAAAAATTAGCCAGGCATGGTGGTGGCACATGCCTGTAGTCCCAGCTACTTAGGAGGCTGAGGCAGGGGGAATTGCTTGAACCTGGGAGGCGGAGGTCGCAGTGAGCCGAGCTCTGGCCACTGTACTCCAGCCTGGTAACAGAGGGAGACTCTGTCTCAGAAAAAAAAAAAAAAAAAAAAAAGGAAGGAAAAGGAAAAAGAAAGGAATTTGCTTCTCACAGTTCTAGAGCCGAGAAGTCCAAGGACATGGTACCAGTATCTGGTGAAGGCATCGTGTGGTAGAAAGGCAGAAGGTGGAAGGGCAAGAAAGGGCAGGAGTGATCGAGACAGAGAAAAAAGGCAAACTTTGTTTATTTTATCACAGTAAAAAATAATTTTTAAGTAGGCTATCTCCAGATGAAAGTAGGACAGGAGTCAGGTAAGACAGGAGATGCCTCAGCCACAGAGAAACATGACCCAGATATGATGGTGCCATCTGTCAGAGCCCTCAAAGGTGGTTCCCTTAGATACATATGCTCAGAATCATTGGCTGGTGAGAGTTATGATAATTAGTATAGGTATAAGGAAATGATGATGATGACGATAATGCCTACCAATTTTTTTTTGGTGATGGAGTCTCGCTCTGTCATCTAGGCTGGAGTGCAGTGACACTATCTTGACTCACTGCAACCTCTGCCTCCCAGGTGTCAAGTAGTTCTCCTGCCTCAGCCTCTGGAGAAGCTGGGACTACAGGTGCCCACCACCACACCTGGTTGATTTTTGGATTTTTAGTAGAGACGGGGTTTCACCAAGTTGGCTAGGCAGGTCTCGAACTCCTGACCTCAGGTGATCCACCGGCCCTGGCCTCCCAAAGTGCTGGGATGACAGGCATGAGCCATCACCATTTTTTTTTATACTATAAATCATCAGTCAATTATTCTGTGTAGATCGGCTTTAATTTTCACCCTGCAAGATAAGTTTTGTCTTTCCAATTTAAAAAGCGAAAATGAAACCAGAATCATAAACAGGTCAAATGATAGGCAGTTTAACCAGCTTATAAATGAGAAAACTGAGGCTCGAACCTAAGTAACTTACTTCAAGAGCTTTACTATTCTGTGAGAGATGAGTAGAAAGAGGCCGGGTGTGGTGGCTCACACCTGTAATCCCAGCACTTTGGGAAGTCGAGGCAGGCAGATCACGAGGTCAAGAGATCAAGACCACTGTGGCACTCCATCCTGGTGACGGAGCAAGACTCCGTCTCAAAAAAAGAAAAAGAAAAAGAAAAGAAAAGAAAGAGAGGGATGGGCAGGAGAGAACTTAGCTGTACTTGACCACTCACTGTGTGTATGGGGAGAGGCGTCAGCTGAGTCCTGGGAGAGTGACCTCCATGCCAGAAAGAGGGAGAATAGAATGAGGAGTTGATGTGGAGGGATGGTGGGAAGTTTATTCCATTTGGGAAAGTCAAGTCACAGGTACCAGCAGGGTAACCATGAGAAAAGCTGTCAGTTTCCATCAGTAAGAATTAGCCAGGCTGTGTTGTCAGAGACAGGAACAGAAATCTCAGAATCGTGTGCAATGTGTGGAGGAGCGTTGAAACTAGAAGGGTGAATGACATTGACAAAGACCGAAATGGAAAGGGTGAGAAGGAGGGAGAGAAGAAGAATGGAGGAAACATATGATGCAGCCACAATTGGGGAAAGGAAGAAATAGAGGAATGGATGGATGAAGGTGACCCCCCAAATAGTGATCAGAAGGTAATATGATGAAGGTGACATTTGTAAGCAATTTTCACGTTTTGCCACATAAAAGGAAAAGAACACTGAGAGAAAAGACTTTGATTTCTTTTTTAAAAGTTAATGGTTATATCACATTATTTATTTCAATCATATCACATAATTATCCATTAAGTTAATGGATAATTTTTGCATCCTGTTTCAAAAAAAAACTGGCCAGGTGTGGTGGCTCACGCTTGTAATCTCAGCACTTTAGGAGGCTGAAGCGGGCAGATCACGAGGTCAAGAGATCGAGACCATCCTGGCCAACATGGTAAAACACCATCTCTACTAAAACAAACAAATAAACAAACAAACAAACAAAAATTAGCCAGGCATGGTGGTGTGCACCTGCAGTCCCAGCTACTGCAGAGGCTGAGGCAGGAAAATCACCTGAACCTGAGAGGCGGCAGTTGCAGTGAGCCAAGATCATGCTACTGTACTCCAGCCTGGAAATAGAGCAAGACTCTGTCTCAGAAAAAAAAAAAAAAAAAAAAAAAAAAAAAAGATGAGTGAGAGAGAGACAAAGAGACAGAGAGAGAAGGTTGGGTTGGGGGGGGACTCAAATTTTAAAAAACTGGAAGGATAACTGATTGATATTAAGCAATAATTATTTACATTTTAAGATATGATAATGTTATTGTGTCTATGGTTTTTTAAGAGTACTTATCTTTTAGTGATGGTGACCAAATTATTTGGATGAAATTACATGATTTGATTCAAAATACTTCACGAAGGGTAGGAGAAGTGGGTTGGAGTACAAAAGAAACAAGATTGGGCATGTGTGATAATGGTGAAGTTTGCTGTTGAGTTTATAGGGTTCATTAGACTTTTCTATCTACTTTTCTGTATGTTTGAATTTTTCCATAATAAATAGTTTAAAAAGTTATCAATGATTAAAACACCAGTGAATGTAGGAAAGAAGTGTATACAAACCTCTGTCCTGAACAAGCCCATAGAGTGTAATATTCTGAAATTTAAGGTAAATTAAACTCGACCATATTCATTTTATTTTAGAATATGAGCTGCATTATTTAATAATGTAGTTAAATTATTCAGTGCTAAGACAGAGTCTAAAAATAAATGTAGAACTCATCAATTTTAAGTAATTCAAAATTAAAACGGTAATGAGTTGCCATTTTGTACTTTTTCGAACCAGCAAATCTGAAAGAAAATGATAAAACAATTCCAGCAAGACTGTAGGGTAAATAACTAAAGAATTGCTAATGTAAGTTTCAATCCTTTCTGATAACTTTTAGCTGATTATAAAGTAGCATATATTGACTGTTGATATATGATAGTGTGTAGAAAAGTAAGCAGCATTTTGAAAGATAATTAAGATTCACAGAAAGCAGATTATATTTCCTTTCAGATTTAAAATGCATATGAACATTTTGTTTTTAAATAATTGTTTTGCAAAGTTATCTGTACATAAATTACTGGCATTTTTCATTTCTTAACACATCATGAACATTTTTCATAACTGTTAATACGTAAAGCATTATTATTTCTTCACCACCTAGTTAACATTCCACTGCTGTACATTTAACTAGCTGTCAGAGTTTTGCTATTCAAAATATGATGGCAGGCCGCGCGTGGTGGCTCACACCTGTAATCCTAGCACTTTGGGAGGCTGAGGCGGGTGGATCACCTAAGGTCAGGAGTTCAAAACCAGCATGGCCAACATGGTGAAACCCCATCTCTACTAAATATACAAGAAATTAGTGGAGCATGGTGGTATACACCTGTAATCCCAGCTACTAGCAAGGCTGAGGCAGGGGAATTGCTTGAACCCACGAGGTGGAGGTTGCAGTGAGCCAAGATCATACCACTGCACCCCAACCAGGGTGACAGAGTAAGATTCTGTCTAAAAAAAAATATATATATATATATATATGTATATATGTATTTATGTATGTGTATATATATATGTATATATGTATTTATGTATGTGTGTATATATATATATATATATATATGATTTCAGTGACCTTTGTGCATACAATTATAAGTTTCTCTGATTATTTCCTCGGACTATGTAAAAATGAAATTCTCAAATTAAATATATTAATATTACTTAAATTTCTGATACATATTCTAAAATTTCTGTCTTGAACATTTATGCCAGTCTGTTCCCAGAAGCAGCATGGGAAAGCAACACTTCTCAAACATTAATGTGTGAGCTGAATCACCTGGGCTCTTGTTAGCCTGCAGATTCTGATTCAGGTCTGAGGAGGGGCCTGAGATTCTGCATTTCCAACTAGATTCCAGGTGATGCTGATGCTGCTGGTCTAAGGACCATACTTTGAATAGCAAGATAATAAATAATTTTTCAAAGACATTTTGATTTTGGGGCGAGGCTCGGTGGCCCATGCTGATAATCCAACACTTTGAGAGGTCAAGGCGGGTGGTTCACCTAAGGTCACAAGTTCCAGACTAGCCTGGCCAACGTGGTGAAACCCGTTTCTACTAAAAATACAAAAATTAGCCTAGCGTGGTGGTGCATGCCTGTAGTCCCAGCTACTCAGGAGGCTGAGGTGGGAGAATTGCTCGAACCCGGGAGGCGGAGGTTGCAGTGAGCCAAGATGGTGCCACTGCACTCCAGTCTGGACAATAGAGCAAGACTCTGCCTCAAAAATAAAATAATTTTGTTTGATTTTTGATGCTCCTTAACTAACACAAAGTCTTAATCATTTGTCAATTTAATAAATACAAATATATATCTATTCATTTATACATATATATATTCATTTGATTTGCGTTGCTTGGATTGCTAATGATGATACACCTACATTACTGTCCATATTTAAAGTTTTGTTTTTGTTTCTGAAAAGCTGGGTCATATATCCCTTGCGCATTTTTATACTGGGTATCAATTTTCTTTTAATCAATTAGCACACTTTATACATTGAGCTTTTTCACACTTTATTATTTGTGCCACAATTAGTTTTTCCAAAGGTAGCTATGTGTATCTGCATTTTCTTTGTAGTTTCTTGACTTACAGAAGTTTTAAATTTTGTTTTCAATATTTTTCTTTTTCTTTTTTTTTTTTTTGAGACGGAGTTTCACTCTTGTTACCCAGCCTGGAGTGCAATGGCGCAATCTCGGCTCACCGCAACCTCTGCCTCCTGGGTTCAGGCAATTCTCCTGCCTCAGCCTCCTGAGTAGCTGGGATTACAGGCACGCGCCACCATGCGCAGCTAATTTTTTTGTATTTTTAGTAGAGACGGGGTTTCACCATGTTGACCAGGATGGTCTCGATCTCTCGACCTCGTGATCCACCCGCCTCAGCCTCCCAAAGTGCTGGGATTACAGGTGTGAGCCACCGCGCCCAGCTTGTTTTTCTTAAACAATCTTTTTTTACAGAGTATCAGAATGTTTCCCTATATTCTTCTGTTTTATGAGATTATTGAAATTTAAGTATTTAATATATTGTTTTCATTACAAAAGTAACATATTTATGTAAAATATTTAGAACATACAGATGAGGAGAACGATTTTTAATCTTTTAGCATATTTTTATCTAGATATTTTCATATGCAAACTTAGGTTTACATATATATGTATATATACATACATTGTTTATATAGTTTTTAGAAAAATAGAATCAATTCAAACTTTGTTCACTTATGACTATACCACAAACAATTAATCATCCAGTGTCAGCAGATGTTTATAGCATCAGCTTTAATGGATCTGTAGAATACCATCATTTGAATACACTATCATTTACCTAACCAGTTCTCATATTTGTAGATATTTAGTTTCCAGTTTATGAACATTATAAAAAATACAGGGATAAGATAATTACATGTGAATCAACATAATAATATTAGTAAACCTTTGTATTATACAACTATTTGCCAGGCACTATTCCAAGTGCTTTATCCATTTTAAGCCACTTTAACCCTCACAAAAAGGCATAAAGTAAGTACTATTGCCCCTATTTCCCACAAGGGAAACTGAGGCACAGAGTGATTTGATCACTGAGTTAGTAACAGGCAGGGCCAGGATTTGAACTGATAATTTTATCACTACATACTCTCTCAGTATATGACTATTATCCAGATGGTCATTAAAATGAGGACATAAATATTCATACGGAGCCCTGGTTCTTCATAAATATTCATATGGCACCCCCTGGGGACTTGTTAAATATGCTAATCAACTGAATCAGAAACCCCGCAGTGGGGCCCTGTGTCTGCATTGTAACACACCCTCCAGTGGTCCAGGCATGCTCAGGTCTGAGGAAGAGAATGTGGTAGGAAGAGCCCTCACCAAGGAAGCCCGAAAAGCTTCAGACTTTGCTGTACTGTTAGCAGATCACGAGGTCAGGAGATCGAGACCATCCTGGCCAACGTGGTGAAACCCTGTCTCTACTAAAATACAAAAAATTATGTGGGCGTGGTGGTGAGCTCCTGTAGTCCCAGCTACTCGGGATGCTGAGGCAGGGGAATTAATTGCTTGAACCTGTGAGGCAGAGATTGCAGTGAGCTGAGATCACGCCACTGTACTACAGCCTGGTGAAGGGCAAGACTCCATCTCAAAAAAAAAAAAAAAAAAAACTACTTTGGGGTGCTTATGTCTAAACCCAGGCAGATATGTTTTCTCATCTATAAAATGGGGACACAGGTCACCATGAGGGATGACGGGCAGTAGATTAGCTGATTTCAACCATTCATTCAGGCTCCACATTTCTATGACTCTAAGGCCATGCAAACATCATATATGATAAAGTTAAAAATAATTGTTAAAGTTGTGCAAAACTGATCTATATCAATGGTAAGTGAGGAAATTGGAAACAAGTGTAAAAGAGGTGGGTATCGTAAAATTCCATTTGTGATGTGTTGAAGCTAGTGGGGTTTGGGGTTTGTTTTGGTTTTGGGTTTGCTTTTTTTTTTTTTTTTTTTTGAGATGGTGTCTCTCTGTGTCTCCCAGGCTGGAGGGCAATGGCAGGATCAGCTCACTGCAGTCTACGCCTCCTGGGTTCAAGCGATTCTCCTGCCTCAACCTCACAAGTAGCTGGAATGACAGGTGCCCACAACCACACCCAGCTAATTTTTGTATGTTTAGTAGAGACAGGGTTTCGCCATGTTGGTCAGGCTGGTCTCGAACTTCTGACCTTGTGACCCGCCCGCCTCAGCCTCCCAAAGTGCTGGGGTTAACAGGCGTGAGCCACCACGCCTGGCCAAAGCTAATTTTATAATAAATACAGTTTTTAAAATACTGTCGTTAAACAGCACACTCACCACATTCTGATCTCTTTAGGTCTCTGAATTAAGACAACAGCTTCGAATTCGGGGCTTGCCTGTGTCGGGCACCAAAACAGCCCTCATGGACCGGCTTCGACCCTTCCAGGACTGCTCTGGCAACCCCGTGCCGAACTTTGGGGATATCACGACTGTCACTTTTCCTGTCACACCCAACGCGCTGCCCAATTACCAGTCTTCCTCCACCAGTGCCTTATCCAACGGCTTCTACCACTTTGGCAGCACCAGCTCCAGCCCCCCGATCTCCCCAGCCTCCTCTGACCTGTCGGTGGCCGGGTCCCTGCCAGACACCTTCAATGATGCCTCCCCCTCCTTTGGCCTGCACCCGTCCCCAGTCCATGCGTGCACGGAGGAAAGTCTCATGAGCAGCCTGAATGGGGGCTCTGTTCCTTCCGAGCTGGATGGGCTGGACTCCGAGAAGGACAAGATGCTGGTGGAGAAGCAGAAAGTAATCAACGAGCTCACCTGGAAACTCCAGCAAGAGCAGAGGCAGGTGGAGGAGCTGAGGATGCAGCTTCAAAAGCAGAAAAGGAATAATTGTGCAGAGAAGAAGCCGCTGCCTTTCTTGGCTGCCTCCATCAAGCAGGAAGAGACCATCTCCAGCTGTCCTTTCGCATCCCAAGTACCTGTGAAAAGACAAAGCAGCAGCTCAGAGTGTCACCCGCCGGCTTGTGAAGCTGTTCAACTCCAGCCCCTTGGAAATGCTCATTGTGTGGAGTCCTCAGGTCAAACCAACGTACTGTCTTCCACATTTCTCAGCCCGCAGTGCTCGCCTCAGCATTCGCCACTTGGGGCTGTGAAAAGCCCACAGCACATCAGTTTGCCCCCATCACCCAACAATCCTCACTTTCTGCCCTCATCTTCTGGGGCCCAGGGAGAAGGGCACAGGGTATCCTCGCCCATCAGCAGCCAGGTGTGCCCTGCACAGGTAAGAACACCTTGCACCATGCCTGGTGCATGCGTCTTTCTAGAAGTGGGATACAAATTTTCAAGTGCTAAAGAGCTAATATCAGAAACTTTATTTTTTATTTTATTATTATTATTATTTTTGAGAAGGAGTCTTGCTCTGGTGTCCAGGCTGGAGTGCAGTGGCACCATCTCTGCTCACTGCCATTTCCAACTCCTGGGTTCAAGTGATTCCCCTGCCTCAGCCTCCCGAGTAGCTGGGACTACAAGCATATGCCATCACACCCAGCTAGTTTTTTAGTAGAGACAGGTTTTCACCATATTGGACAGAATGGTCTCGATCTCCTGACCTCGTGATCCACCCTCCTCGGCCTCTCAAAGTGCTGGGATTATAGGCGTGAGCCACCGCACCCAGCCTAATGTCAGAACTTTCCATGTGAAGTTTTACCAAAAGCCTAGCAGCATCTCCCAAACACTACAATCCTTGAGTCTTCATGGTAGACCAAACTCACTTATCCTCTAAGTCAGGGGCTGGCAAACTTGCTCTGTAAAGGACCAGATGATAAATATGTTTTTGCTTTGCAGGTCACACTGTCCGTGTCATACCTACTCAGTTTTGCCTTTGTTATCACAAACACAGCCACAAACATTGTGTAAACAAATGCACATGGCTATGTTCCAATAAAACTTTATTTTAAAAAATAGGCAGTGGGCAAGACTTGGCTTGTGGGCTGCAGCTTGCTGACCACTGCTCTCAGGATTCCTTGCGGTCAAACCTTATCATAGGTCAAACCAATGCCTTAAAGGCTTAAAGGGAAAGTCATCAGACCTTACTTTCATGCAATAGTCTGCATAGTGAAAACATTTAGTGAGCACCTACCGCGTGCCAGGTCCTGTTCTCATCTCTGGGAATTAGTGCCGAACTAGCCAAAAAAAGTCTATTCTTGTGGGAGCAGAGACAGTTTAAAAGTAAATTAAACAATTTCAAAGTAAATTACATACTATATTAGATGATACAATTTATGGAGAACAAGCAAAGGTGTGTGTGTGTGTGTGTGTGTGTGTGTGTGTGTGTGTGTCTGTGTGTTCTTGTGTGTGTGTGTAGTTTGTGTGTAGTTTGGAAGCTTACAACTCTAAATAGAAGGGCCAGGGACATTTTAGCAAAACCTTCAAAGAAGTTAAAAAAAAATTGTGGATATTTGCGGTGAAGGCATTGAAGGCAAAGGAGAAATAGCACATGCAAAGGCCCTGTGGTTGGCGCTTACAGAGACTGTTCAAGGACCAGTGGCCAGCAGAATGGGAACAGTCATCAGAGCTGTCTAATTCAAAGACTAGGCAAAGGTGATTGGCAAAGACTGCTTATGCTCACGAAGAATCACTCGGAAAGTCTATGTAAGTCAAGTTGAGAAAGGTTACATATCAAAAGGTTCTGCAATCAGCATGATTAGAAAGGGAATAGGAAGAAAACTCACATTAATTGAATATGAATACCTTCTAAGTGACAAGCATTAAGAGGCATGTCTGTGGGTAACCTCAGTTGCTGTCACAAGGAAACTGTGAGCTCCAGTGTATTATTCTTTATTTGCCATTGAGGAAAATGAGGCTCAGAGAGCTTAAATCAGTTACCCAGGATCACATGAACCTGAAATTTGTTAATTCTAAGTACACACCCTATTCCTGTGGAATATCTCCACACCAAGAATGTGAAGTGTGGCAAAATGTAATGAGAATTACTTTTTACAAACCTATAGAAACAACACATTCCAATGAACGATGCCTTCCCCTGAGGGGCACCCTGGGAGAAATTAGGACTTAAATAAATTATTGTCATAATTAACAAACGTTTATTGCATGTATAGTATCCAGGGAAACAAAGGTAAAAATAGCTCTTGAGGCATACCTCTGGACCAAAACTTTCAGTACTGATGATATTGCTGCTAACATTATACAGTGATTTATGGCTTACAAAGACTCTTTGAAGACATTAACAATTTCATGATAAAATGATAAAGAACAGGCTGGGTACAGTCGCTCATACCTGTAATCCCAGCACTTTGGGAGGCTGAGGTGGGCAGATCACAAGATCAGGAGTTCAAGACCAGCCTGGCCAACATAGTGAAACCCTGTCTCTACTAAAAATACAAAAATTCACCAGGTATGGTGGTGTGCACCTGTAATCTCAGCTACTCTGGAGGCTGAGGCAGGAAAATCGCTTGAACCCCAGAGGCGGAGGTTGCAGTGAGCCAAGATCATGCCATTGCACTCTAGCCTGGGTGACACAGCAAGACTCCGTCTCAAAAAAAAAAAAAAAGGATGATAAAGAACAAAATAGGTTAATGTAACTGATTTATGCTTACAACGTTAAATACTGATAAGAGGGAGGGACAGATTGATTATAATTATAAAGGGCTAGAAAGATCCAGGAAGGTTTTGTGAAGGCGTTGGACTTGGCAGGAAGTATCATGTTTAAAAGTAGAGGGCCGGGAAAGAGACAAGGCGGGGAGATGGAATGAACAGGGCATGCTGATGGAGGTCCGTAGTGGGAATCGTAGAACTTAAGCTTGCTGAGGTAAATAGCACCACACTGTAGAGGCTTGAACACCCATCCAGGTTGAAAGTGGAAATCCCGTGCTGTGGATACCTGAAGCCACTGGAAGTTTTTCAGCAGTAGGTGATGTCTAAAAAGCCAGATTTTAGGCAAGTTCATCTGGTAATGGAATTTAGGAAGGTTTGTAAAGATGACACCAGGGGACACAGGGCAGGAACCAGAATTGTCAGCCAAGGTCACACTCAAGCAAGCTGGTGTTGGCCATGTAATTTGTCACTTCTTCCTTTACAGAACTCAGGAGCACACGATGGCCATCCTCCAGGCTTTTCTCCCCATTCTTCCAGCCTCCACCCACCCTTCTCTGGAGCCCAAGCAGATAGCAGTCATGGTGCTGGGGGCAACACTTGTCCCAAAAGCCCATGTGTACAGCAAAAGGTAAGCACTTTGCAAAAGGATTCAAACTGGGACTCACTTTGCCTCCTCTCTTCTGTAATCCTTGCCCTCCAAAGTGAACAATAATGAAGTTCCCTTTTTCCCTCTTGTTTTTTTTTTTTTGAGACAGAGTCTTACTGTGTCACTCAGGCTGGAGTACAGTGGCGCGATCTTGGCTCACTGCAACCTCCATCTCCTGAGTTCAAGCAATTATCTGTCTCAGCTGCCTGATTAGCTGGGGTTACAGACACCCACCACCACGCCCTGTTACTTTTTTTTTTATTTTTAGTAAAGGCAGGGTTTTACCATCTTGGCCAGGCTGGTCTTGAACTCCTGACCTCATGATCCACCCACCTCGGCCTCCCAAAGTGCTGGGATAACAGGCATGAGCCACTGTGCCCTGCCATGAAGTTCCCTTTAAAGGCAGAAGGAAATTTCATTTTAGAGAGAAACAAATCCACTCAAAATGCATGTAAAAGGATGTACAAATATGAATTAGGAGGTATTCCAGGGAGTCACTTCTGGAGTCATCCCAGAAATCATGATGACGAAAATGGCCATAATACGTTTGTGCAACCATGTGAACAAGAAACCAGTTTCTGTGAAGTTTAAGATTGGAATCAGGGTGTGTGGGAAAACAATGTCAGAGGAGGAGAGAGGGACACAGATCCATGGACAGGACTGGAGAGGTGCAGAAAGCAATGGCCACACTGCAATATCTTTCTGGGAAAGGAAGTGATGTCACCCAATCCGCGGGTGGAAGAAGTCAGTGTATGAATGATCCAGGCTATGAAGAGTTTCAAGGGGCAAAGAAGAGGTGGCAGAAAGAAGACAAACAAGATAAGCATGACATAAAAGTGCCACATATGACAAGTCAGGGAAGGGGCAGAGATCCTGAAGTGGGCCAGGCACTCCACAGGAGAATGCACTCACAATAAACAAAGCCGATTAATAAAGAAACTTCAACAACTCAGCAATGGCTCCGATTGGCTGCAAAATACCCAGTTTGGAATAAATGATCTGAGAGATAAGATTACTCTGGAAATTCCTAGGTTGATGATTTTTTTTTCTTTTTTTTTTTTTTTGCAACACAGTCTCACTGTCACCCAGGCTGAAGTGCAGTGGCATTATCTCGGCTCACTGCAACCTCCACCTCCCAAGTTCAAATGATTCTCCCACCTCAGCCTCCCAAGTAGGTGGGATTACAGGTGCACACCACCACACCCGGTTAATTTTTGTATTTTTAATAGAGATGGGGTTTCATCATGTTGGCCAGACTGGTCTCAAAGTCCTGACCTCCAGTGACCTGCCTACCTTGGCCTCCCAAAGTGCTAGGATTACAGGCATGAGCCACCTGGCCTGGCCTGATTTTTTTTTTTTTATTATTGAATTTGACTCTTATTTATTTTTCCCTGAAAGAAGAGGGTGCACTTTAAGGGGAAAAATAGTTCTGCAAGGTTCCCATTCTGAGATGCTACTAGCAATAAACCCACAGTGGAATTCACTATTGTTACGGGAGTTATTTTCTAGGCCTGGGACCCTTTTTATTCTCTTAGATTAATTTTTCCAAAATTTAACCTGTTGTTTCTAGAACAGTAGCAATATCATTTCAGATCCATGAATTCAATGCCTTTCTCTGTGTTTTACCCATACAGATGACTGGTTTACACTCTTCTGATAAGATGGGGCCAAAGTTTTCAATCCCATCCCCGACTTTTTCTAAGTCAAGTTCAGCAATTTCAGAGGTAACACAGCCTCCATCCTATGAGGATGCCGTAAAGCAGGTAACCATGTGATTTGTTCTTTATGGAAGAATAGACTGACTGTTTTAGATGATTAAACTTCATGCAGTTTGTAAATTCTGATATTGAGTGTGTTGTGTGCCTTGCCACCAAAATAAGTGAATTACCTAGACAATAATTGGAAAACAGTGTTGTGTGTATAGCTGTGTGAGGCAGGGAGAGAAGAGGGTCACCTGCCTAGCTCTGGTACCAGCCCTGCTACCTGCCAGCTGCCACACTGTCAATAAGGTGAATGCTTCACCTCTGTTACACAAAATAGGGATAATATTTACTTAGTAAGGATTCTAGATAACCTAGCACATACTACATTGTTCAGGCATATAAAACGTTCTCAAATATATGAGAGTGATTATCAGGATCATACTTCCTGAGGTTCTCCCTGGCTTTAAAATTCAGTGACCCTGGCAAAACATTAATTGGGTGTTGATTGAAGCTGGGTAATAAATGCAAGGAAGTCCATTGTATCCTCCACTTTCATTCATATTTGGAAAGTCTCAAAATTGAAAAGTAAGAAAAAGAAAAAAAAGGCCGGGTGTGGTGGCTCACAGCTGTAATCCTAGCACTTTGGGAGGCCGAGGCAGCAGGATCACCTGAGGTCAGGAGTTTGAGACCAGCCTCGCCAACATGGCGAGACCCCGTCTCTACTAAAAATACAAAAATTAGGTGGATGTGGCAGTGCGTGCCTGTAATCCCAACTACTTGGGATGCTGAGGCAGGAGAATTGCTTAAACCTGGGAGGCAGAGGTTACAGTGAGCCGAGATTGTGGCACTGTACTCCAACCTGGGTGACATGAGAAAAACTTCGTCTCACAGAAAATAAAAAAGAAAAAGAAAAAGAAAAAGCAATGAACTATCCTGTATTTCAAATAGTCTGAGCTTGGATAAGATATTTGATAGCCCTTTATATGTCCTCAACCCAGAACAGAACATCTACATCAGTTGCTGCATACGGGTATCCCACAGATCAAAGCCAGCCTGAAGTGAAGTTCTGTTTGGCTTTGAAAATGTTTTAAATAACAGGAGATGGTATGCAAAGTGGGCTTTCTCATTTCTAAAAAATTAGAGGATCTGGCAACCCAGGAGCCACAGTGCTGAGAGTCGACAGTTGCCTAAAGCAAGGTTCTGCTGCTACTTTGAGCCACAGCTCTGCTCTGCTCTCTGCCTCCTTTTCTTATTCTGTATTCAGTTCATTCCATTACCTGCCAGTCCCTTAGGCATCTGGTACCTTCTGATGTGATAAATGACTCATTTTTTGATCAGAACCATCCACATTGATTTTTGATGCCTGTGTTTATTGAGTCTGGGTTGTCAGAGGAGTGAGATGGATAGATGCCTTTGTTCTCCCCATTCCTCTCCCCTGGTTTCTGTAAACAGCAGCTGATCCTTCACAGATTCAAAAGAAGAGAAAACGGCCAGGCAAAGTGGGCATCCAGAAATAAGACTCTACTGAGATGAGCCAGAGGGGACAGGGCATATCCTGCAAGTGTCTACTGGTTCCTCAAGCTACTGCAGTGAGGAACCAACAAAATATAAGCCAAGTTCTTGGGCCACGTTGCAGCAACCAAGTGAGAGGTAGATTTAAGTCACTTCAAAGTAATAGCCTAAAAAGGTGTGTATATATATATATATATATATATATATATATATATATATATACATTTTTTTTTTGAGACAGAGTCTCACTCTGTTGCCCAGACTGGAGTGCAATGGCATGGTCTCGGCTCACTGCGACCTCCGCCTCCTGGGTTCAAGCGATTCTCCTGTCTCAGCACCCCTAGTAGCTAGGCTGACTGGCACGCACCACCACACCTGGCTAATTTTTGTATTTTTAGTAAAAACAGGGTTTCACCATGTAAGCCAGGCAGGGCTCAAACTCCTGATCTTGTGATCCACTTGTCTCAGACTCCCAAAGTGCTGGGATTACGGGCGTGAGCCACCACACCCAGCCCAAAAGGTATTTTCTATATATTAAGATGTCCTGCTCCTGGGATGAAAACTGTTATGTGTAAATATTCAGTGCTGCAAAAGAAGTAGCCCTGGAATATAAATTTCCTCAACAAGGCAATTTACTTCTATAGAAGGGTGCGGCTCACAGATGGAACACTGGCGAGTACACACCTGGACAAGGGAGGGGTAGCGGTTCTTATTCCTGATGGACGTCGTCCCTACTGCTATGTCATTCCCCTATTGGCTAGAGTTAGACGGCACAGTCTAAGCTAATTCCAGTTGGCTATTTTAAAGAGAGCAGGGGTATGAGCTGGAGTGGCGGGGTGGATGGTTTGGTGGGAAGGACAGTTACAGGCAGGTCAGAGCAGGTAACCAGGGGTCAAAGCAGGTGACCAGAGCAGGTGACCCGGATGAGTCAGGATGGAACAGGGGAACAGATGTGAATTACTGAGTAGAACTGGTGGGAAAGGTTTTTACTGAAACTACAAGGAAGTTAAACTTTGAAATGGAGAATTAAAGAATAAGAGAGCTGAGCATACTGACACACTGATTCTTTGAAGAGAAACTTGGAGTTCGCCTGTATCTAACAAAACCTCTCAAACAACCGAACTAACTCTAAAGTATTCGGTGCTGGGAAGCATTCTGCTTTCTTTCTCCATTCTCCTGCTGTAGTAGATTGTTTCATTCAGTAGTTTATATGCCTAAAATTAATACTGAAGCTTAATAAAACAGGGTTAAAAAAACCTTTAGGCAATAGACCCATGTTCATAGCAGTGTTATTCACTGTACCCCGAAGGTGCAAACAGCCTAGATGCCCATTAACAGATGAACGGATAAACGACATATGTTATATCTACACAATGGAATTTTATTCAGTCTTTAAAAAAAAGAAATTCTGACACATAGCACAACACAGATCAACCTTGAGGACATTATGCTTAGTGAAATAAGCTAGTCACAAAAGAACAAATACTGTCTGCTTCACTTATATGAGGGACCTAGATAGAATAGTCAAATTCATAAAGACAGGAAGGAAAATGGTGGCTTCCAGGGCTAAAGGATGGGGCGTGGGAAGTTAGAGTTTAATGCACACACAGTTTTAGTCTTGCAGGATGAAAAGAATTCTGAAGATGGATGGTGGGGACGGTCACACAACAATGTCAATGGACTTCATGCCGCTTAACTGTACACCTAAAAATGGTTGATAGTAAATTTAAAGTTATGTGATTTTACCTCAATTAGAAAAAAAAAAAAAAAAAAACTTAACCAAACCTAGTTCAACAACCCTGCGGCGCTGCTTCTAATGAATCCCTGCAGAGAGAACCACCTTCTAACCTGTCTGTCCTCCTTTGGTTAATCTGCAATAGCAAATGACTCGGAGTCAGCAGATGGATGAACTCCTGGATGTCCTTATTGAAAGCGGAGGTAAGACCGCCTGTGGCCTGTCCATTAGGACATTCCGAGCCTGTGTGGATTCTAAGGAATGAACTCTTGGTAGCAAGATCAGATGTACACTGAGTTGGATGTACCAGGTAGTCCTCAGGGAGAGTCATTTTTTTTTTTTTTTGAGATTCCTGAGCATTATTAGGGCTGATAAAAGAAGGCATAGTGGATGATTCCTCACTGCCTTTGTCCTAGGAGCATTTTTCAGCAATCATTTTAATAGTTTTCATGTTTCAACCTAATCCTTGTTTCCTTAAATGTTTTCTCTTGCAGCACTATTTTTTTCTATGTTTTAATCCCAATGTCCCTGCCTTCTCAATGATAAGAAAAGAAAAAAAGCAGATAATGAAAGTTTTGTGCTACCTACTCAAAGTGCAGTTCAATTAGTAACCTTCCACTGGATGGTTCATTCATGCTTAAATGTTATTCATGCTAGCAATAAAACATAATCTACATGTTCTTTTTGCTGCCTTTTAATTTTTTTTCATTTATTTACTTAAAAAATATTATGGAGTGTGTGCCTAGGATTTGAAACCACACACATGAAAAAGATGACCCAAGGAGGATGTGTAGATAAAAAGAAAAGAACTCAGGGCAGAATCCTTAAGCAAAAAAAATTTAAAGTTTCAGAGAAGGAGGTAGCAAAGGACTTGGAGAAGAGGTAGCCAGATATCACGCTAGTCCCTGGGATACATCAAACAAAGTCCTGATTTTTATGGAGTTTATGGTCTGGTAAGGGAGACAGACAAGAAGCAAGTGAATGGACCTTCCTCCACTGTAACAGGAGGCAAGAAGAAAGAGATGGGCACAGACATATGTATGTATGAGTTTTGTGATGGAAAGATGAGAGAGTTCACGTCAGATGCCCTCATGTATTTCTAATGAAATATGTGGCAAGGTCAGCAACACGTGAGGATGTGGAAGGGGTGTGTGGAAGATTCAGGGGAAAAAGAGCAGTTATGACTTCATCATGAATGAATTGACTTTTCTGGAGAAACACAGCAGGGTGGTTTTGTAGTCTTAAATGCCAATTGTAGGTCTGACATCAGGAATCTAAAGTGAAACCCAGTCAGCTTACTTCAATTTTTCTCTTGCAACGTTCTGCTGACCCAGAGCATGCACAGAGAAGGCAAATGATCAGGTTCATCCAGGTGTGGGGTTCTGCCAAAAATGTAGGCTGGACAAGGAAAGAGGTGAAGACCAGAGGGGCTGGTGGACAGTGATAACGTAGCAGAGTCTCTGGATTGGCGTGACTGTGAATGGTTGGGAGATTATTGTTATGGGGTGCTGGATAAGTGGCCTGGAGGGATGGCAGAGGATATCGCTTGAAGACAGAGAGTAGAAAATATAGCTTGAAAGTGAGCTTTCAGCGGGATGCAGTACTTGGAGATGACACGCTCCGAGGTGTGTCTGATGGGGTGGGAATGCTGGAATCGCTGGAGTTGAGGAGGCAGTCAAGAGCTGAGAGGCCAGCGTGAACACTGTGATTCCCAAGGATGCTCAGGTCACAGAATGAGAAGGGTTGAAGCGGGGAAAAGGCAGTGGACTAGGAAGTAGAGTTTTCAGTGGATGAGGAGGAATGGCCTGAGGTGTTGGTGTCTCCCTCAAACCCCAAAACTGCTGAGTTGTCGTCAGAAGGAGGGGGAGTAGCAATCAGAAAGTGGCAATTGCATAGCACCTGATCCCTCATCTTCAGGACCTCACTGAGGGTGTCCGGATGGACTCAGTGTTCTCAAGGGACTACCAGGGGGTAGAGAAGGAGTAAGTACAGGAACCTTCAGAGAAGAGGTTAATAGTCACAGAGTGGAACTCCCAGGAGGAAAGGGTTTGGGGAAAGACCGGAGGGAAGATGAATTTGTGGACGACAGAGCAGCTTAGAGATGAGACTGGGTGGTGAGGGGACCAGGGAAGTGTGGCTTCTTCTGGATCTAAGTGTGACTCACTCACATCGCATGGCACGCTCGATCTGAAGTGATTTTAACGAGTCACATCCTGTTTTACTCACAGAAATGCCAGCAGACGCTAGAGAGGATCATTCATGTCTTCAAAAAGTCCCAAAGATACCCAGATCTTCCCGAAGCCCAAGTGCTGTCCTTCCCAAACCCTCGGCTTCCTTTGAACAAACCTCTTCAGGCAGCCAGATCCCATATGATCCCTATGCCACCGACAGTGATGAGCATCTTGAAGTCTTATTAAATTCCCAGAGCCCCCTAGGAAAGGTGAGTGATGTTACCCTTCTAAAAATTGGGAGCGAAGAGCCTCGTTTTGACGGGATAATGGATGGATTCCCCGGGAAGGCTGCGGAAGATCTCTTCAACGCGCATGAGATCTTGCCAGGACCCCTCTCTCCGATGCAGACACAGTTTTCACCCTCTTCTGTGGACAGCAATGGGCTGCAGTTAAGCTTCACTGAATCTCCTTGGGAAACCATGGAGTGGCTGGACCTCACTCCGCCAAGTTCCACACCCAGCTTTGGCTCCCTCGCCACCAGCAGCCCCAGCATCTTTAATATTGATTTCCTGGATGTTACTGATCTCAATCTGAATTCTTCCATGGACCTTCACTTGCAGCAGTGGTAAAATGCCAGATACACCAATGCTACGGAAGACCAATGGGAATTCCACGGGGGGAAGCACACAACCATACCTACGTTAGAATCCAAAAACAAGAAGAAGAAGGGAATTAAAAAGAAGCAATGGAGACTTCTGTGGCAATCAACAAGAACAAATAGAAGTCGTTTTTAAAAATATGTATTCCGTAATAGTTACCAATATTCAGTAACTGTGAATGATTTCAACAATGCATTCAAAAATGTGCTTTCTCAGATTAAGGATGCCAAAAAATATATTTCACTGCCTTTTCAAAGACCAGTAACTTTTCCAGCCCATAATTTTTCTCAGGCGTTGTTGGGGCATAAGCTCACGCTGTAAGCTTTTCTCATGAATTCACTAGACCTGACGTGGAAGGAAAATGAAGTCTTTTGTGAGTACAGGGAAGCCAGACCCTCAAAGGTTATGGAAGGCATACCTGCGACAGAAGCTGCTGCCTAGGGTCTCCATTACCTATCTTTCAAAAGAGAAGCCAGACTCCGCTTCAGTTCAAAAGTTCTTGAGATAGAGAGACAAAACCAATCTATTTCCAGAGAAGCTGAATCAACTCAATGTCCCTCTGCCACAAAACTGCCCACTGGAGCGGTTCTGAACTTATACCCAGGACTCTGTGTGGTCTCTGATAACAGTTAACCTGAACTGAGTCCACAGAACTCCATCCAGAACTTTCTTCTCTTTTAACCAGTGGCCCAATCATTCCCACCATCCCTGTGCTGATAAGTATGTGTCCTAGATGAGAACCCTGAAGAATGAGGACCTTCTTCCCCTCAAGGAGACGCCACAAGCTCCCCAACACAGCTCCCTTTAGTTCCAAAGAATGAAGATGACCAAATGGGCAGAAATATATCTCTAGGGACAGGGAAAAAGCTGTACCAGAGAAAATTCAGGCAGTCCTAGACAATAACATCATTTCACATATCCTGGGATATACACCCTGGGTTCCTACAACAGGACTATTACTTATGGAAGTCCACCTCTCCTTTTGCTTTCTTATCAGTTTCTCTTTCTCCCATTCCACTTTTCCTACAAGGTACCAGTTATTTCCTGTTCCTCTTTTGACATCTTTCTTTTTCTGCCCCAACATTGGGAGGGAAGGACCTCTCAGTTCTCACAAGCTGCCATCATCCTAAGAAAGCCATTTTTGAAAAAAATAACAATCCAGGTTCTCCTGAAGAACTCATTCTCCAAACACACAGTTTGCTGCAAAAGGAAGTTGCAAGAACTTCTTTAGGAAGAAACTGGTGACTTGGTCCATCCGTCACAAAGTTCTTTCTAGTCTCATTTAATTTTCAAGAAATTATTGGTTTGTGTTGCCCTGGGGAAATTGGAAATCACAATATTGTAAAGATAAATATGGATGATATTTACAGGAGAGAATTTCAGTTCTGGGTTTTTGAAAGAATACAGAATCGCACATTGAACATGATGGAAGGAAAAAGACAGTGGTCCAGTGTGCATTCCTCATTACCTCTCGTGGCTTTGGCTGGGAGTTGGAAAAAAACTAAAATTTCAGGACAGTCTCTGTAAGGCTCACTGTGGCTCCAATTCACCGGTTTATATTGTTGCATGCTGTAGAAAGGAGCTAATGCTGTTGTTTTGTTTTTTTATTTAAATCACTAAGGCACTGTTTTTATCTTTTGTAAAAAAAAATGTTGTTCACTGTGCACTTATAGAAAAAATAATCAAAAATGTTGTGATTTTAGAAGCTCTCTTTTTGATAAACCAAAGATTTAGAAGTCATTCCATTGTTAACTTGTAAAAATGTGTGAACACTGAGTGTTTTTGGTGATTGCTACTCTGAAAGCTGCCAGATCTTATTCTGGGGGTGAGATGGGAGGGAAATACACATACACACACAAACACACACATGTGTATAATAGATATATACATATGTGCATATTATATCGGTGTGTGCATGTATCTTCAAAAGCAGTGTTACAGAGTTCTACACCAAAAGCCTTTAGCCCTTAATCTGCTGTGAATGATACCTGGCCTTTCTCACTATGAATTCCTGATTAATCAACCAGACTACACGTTGCCTCTCTGTGTATGACTAAGGACTCCAAACCAATGACTCACAGCTACTTGCTTATCGTGAACAAGCTCATCTTGGCGATGAATATGGACGTGAAAAGACAGAACGGCTTCACCATTAGTAGCTGGAAATGGTATCACAGTCTCTTATAAAGGAGTATGAAAGGAACATGAAAATCATTTTACATTCCTTCATCTGCATTGTGCTTTAACAGATCCACATGGTAAATTTTTTATTTTGCTTTTATGTCAGTCATCAGAACCAAAAATCCAGAGGAAAAAAACTGCCAGCGTTTCCTTTGAAGATGAAGCTATGGGGAAGAAAACCTTATTAACACATTCCACACATTTGTTCATTCCTCAAATGTTGATGTTTCCTTGGGGTCTTGACAAAGCTTGCTGGTCAGTATACTTTTCAGGTGTCACGTTTTGCTGTTTGTATGTTATTTTTCTTGCCCTTCCTTTGGAAAACAAACTCACACTGTGCCCCTACTCTGAGACCCGGGACTGAGTGTTGATTATTTTTTTCCTTGGGTATGTCTATCTGAGAGATGAGACCTAATTAGGAGGCTTCTGTACTTCTCCAGATCATGACTTTTTATGGGGATCTTTTAGGCTATGACCCAGGACAGATAGATATGCCTTACAGTAGACAAAAGATAAAATAGTTCTCATATCCTAACGCAAACCAACACAGTTAAAAGAGCAGATTGCATTTTTTAGTAGAGACAGGGTTTCATCGTGTTGGTCAGGCTGGTCTTGAACTCCTGACCTCGTGATACACCCGCCTCAGCCTCCCAAAGTGCTAGGATTACAGGCCTGTAATCCCAGCTATTCAGAAGGCTGAAGCAGGAAAATCGCTTGAACCTGGGAGGCGGAAGTTGCAGTGAGCCGAGATCATGCCACTGCACTCCAGCCTGAGTGACAGAGCGAGACTCCATATCAAAAAAAAAAAAAAAAAAGAGTAGGTCACTGGGTAACTGCTCTCAACCTCCTTCTACAGTCTCCGCAAACCACATTCACCCTCTGTCTTCATAGCTCAGACATGAAATTTGAGGGAGAAAACTGGAGATCGTTGGGAGAAAATTGGTGAAGTTGGCTGCTTCCAGTAGATCAGATAATCCATGAATTTGTCTCCCACTGAATTCTGTTTTAAATTGTTTTAAACTCTTAGTTGTGTCTTTTGTGACGACAAATCGGGCATGACTAAAAGACGTACAGAGACTTACAAAGATGGTCACGTTCACGTTCCCTAATGCTCTTAGAACCTGAAGATGACCACGTGTAGTTTTCTTAAGACCTCTGAACCCCCGTGGTGATGAAGACTTGAAGACATTTGCAGCTATCCTCAGTGCTGCTGCAATCCGGTAGATTCATCCTTATCCAAAAGAGTCAGAAAACGTATTCGTGCAAGCACTTGCAGTGAGCCCGTGCTTCATAGTCGTGGCCCTGCTTCCAACAATGTTGTTGAGACAACACAAATTCCATTGCAAGGAAGGAAAGAGAGGGAGGGAAGGAGGAACGAGGGGGAGGGAGAGAGGAAGGGAAGACAGGAGATGGGAAGGGTGAAGGAGAGAAGGAGGGAGAAGGGAAGGAAAGAAAGAAGAGAGGAAAGAAAGGAGGGAAGGAAGAAAGGGCCAGACTTTCTGATCTATGTATAAACTTCTCAATTCAGCTAAGATGTCACATTATGAGAAGTAAATCAGAATTTTTTTTAAGGAGAAGTCATTCTGAGCATTACAGTAACTGTACCAGTAATTGAGGAAGCCAAGACAGCCTTCACTTGAATAATCAAGGGTCTGAGAACTGTCAGCCTTTTGCCATTCAAAAGCATTCACTTCCCACCTGAAAAAAAGAATTGATAAAACCTATCCCAAGCATTCAAGATAGTCCTTTCCAAATATTATTTATTTTAAAGTCAGTCAGCTCTTCTAGAAACAGATTCTGGTCTGGCTAAAAACTCCCACAAAAAAATTTACTCTTCCAGTGGCTAATATTTGATGCCCACCATGGGTAGAGCACACAAATCTTCAGCTCTCCAATACTGAATTGATTCAGCACAGATTGTTCAGATTGGAATGACCCAGGGAGTTGTATATCCTACATGCAAGAACACTGAGAATCTCCCCGTTCTCAAACTAGAAACCTTTTACCTATGATAAAAAGAGGTTTTCATTTTTCCAAAAGGGAGGGTGGAGTTGAGGATCACTTTTTAGCTAAAAGCTCTCTCTCACTCCAAATTTCTTGTCTTTTTCTTTGTGGACAAACAGAAATAGTCTATCCCTTGGAGATTTTTTTAACACCTCCCATCATTTGAAACATCCATGAGACTTTGAAGATTTGTTTTGATTGCCAGATACAGAAAGCCCCATGAAAATGAGGAAAGGGCGGAGGAAGCATTTTTGTGTCCTATCCCTATTTATCATAGCAGCTTTATAGACAAAAGGGACACTCACTGGTGAGCATCTGGCCCTTAAAAGAAAAGTGTCTAAGAATATGAAGGCAAAATCTGATTTCCCCCTTCAGTCCTCAGCTGCCTTCCTCACAGGAGGTTACCAATTGCTGGTACACAGTTTGCTATCAGATATCAGATAGGAGAAAAGTTGCAGTGAAAACAGTCTGGGTTCTTGGTTTTCCCATAAATCTAATATAAACTGGGAGATTGGTTCGGGGTCAAAATTGCCAATGCCTTATTAGACAGACGATACTGAGAGACATACAGACCCAGGTCCCGGAACAAGACAATCCTATAGTGCCAAGATTGGTCAGCTGTGTTGAGGAGCTGGGTTTGATTCTAGAGTCCAGGTTTATAGGGAAACCCTGGCTAGATAGAGACTACCCATGGGGAGATGATTTTGAGACAGGATGAGATCTGGGAAGAATGTCATTATCATCTGCCAGGGAAATTGTCATAGGACTCACTGAATGCAATAACATGTGAGTAGGTTCCCTGTCGATTCTGGGAATCAGCGATTTTCCCTGTGGGTTAAGACCAACCAACCCCTGACGTTCTCCTGTGCTTATTGTAACCAACTGTCCCTATCATGAACATTGGAGCATGCATTTCCTAGAAGTGTTTTCCTAGCTCCTGCGTGTTCATGGAAAGAGGGAGTATAATGATGGGGATCCTGGAAGCTATTGTAATGTTTTCCAAAGGAAAGGAACCCACGCTGCTCCCCAGAGTTCCTTTCTGATGGCCCTGCAGTGGGAACGGAGGACAACAGATGGCTGGGTGCTTACAATCCTCCCTCAGTGAAGCACAAAGAGACACTTTGTAAAGAAAAAAAGAGCAAGCATAGGTTCTCTGCGGACCTATGGAGTGGTGTTTTCATGTCGGTCTCCTTGGCTCAATTATGCATAATCAGAAAGAAATGTGGGTTACTGGGAAGAGACAAAAAGCAGTGGCTAAAATACCAAAGTTGGCATGTGTTCTTTTTTTTTTTTTTTTTTTTAAAAAGCATATTTTTTAAATAAAATGTTTATTTTAAAAAGAAATGTAAAGCTTTTTTTTTCTTGGCTGTGTGATGTATCCAGGCCTTGTGCTGTGTGCTATTTATATGCGTTATTTCCCTTCATTCCCACAATGGCCCAGTGAAGTGGTAGCATTATGATCCTCATTTTTGCAAAGAAAGAAACCAGGCTCAGAGGACATCTAAATGGCCTAAAGTTACATGACTGAGAAATGGCAGAGCCAAGAGTGGCAGGCTGTGATTTGCTCACCTCCAAAGCCTCGATCTTAAGCACTGCACACACTGTCTGAACTGATACTTACTAAGGATCACACTAATAAAATGAGAACTTTTGCAAAACAGATTCTCAAGTTATATATGTGCCCGTTAAAATACACACATGTGTATGCAACTGAGCCGATTCAATGTTTTCATCAGTTTAGTAACTGAGCAAATTGAATAATAATGTAGGATGAATTGGATATCAAAAGATCTATATGGATAGACTCCTTGAATAAGACCTAGTGTTTTTTGTTTGTTTGTTTCTTTGAGACGGGTCTTGCTCTGTCACCAGGCTGGAGTGCAGTGGCGCAATCTTAGCCCACTGGAACCTCCGCCTCCTGGGTTCAAGCGATTCTTCCCCTTCAGCCTCCTGAGTAGCTGGGACCACAGACACGTGCTACCACGCCGGGCTAATTTTTTGTATTTTTAGTAGAGACAGGGTTTCACCATGTTGGCCAGGATGGTCTTGATCTCTTGACCTTCTGATCTGCCCGCCTCAGCCTCCCAAAGTGCTGAGATTACAGGCGTGAGCCACTGCACCTGGCAAGACCTCGATTTTTTTTTTTTGAGACGGAGTTTTGCTCTTGTTACCCAGGCTGGAGTGCAATGGCGCGATCTCGGCTCACCGCAACCTCCGCCTCCTGGGTTCAGGCAATTCTCCTGCCTCAGCCTCCTGAGTAGCTGGGATTACAGGCACGCACCACCATGCCCAGCTAATTTTTTTTTTGTATTTTTAGTAGAGATGGGGTTTCACCATGTTGACCAGGATGGTCTCGATCTCTTGACCTCGTGATCCACCCCCCTTGGCCTCCCAAAGTGCTGGGATTACAGGCTTGAGCCACCGTGCCTGGCCTAAGACCTACTTTTTAATCTACTTTT